AATCTAATAAAATATATAAAAATATATTTAAAATATATATTTATTAAATATTATATATTATATATTATTATTTAATATTTAATAAATATATTTTCCATTAATTTAATATATATTAATTAATATATTATTATATCGTATATATATTTAATACACATTATATTATATATTATTATAATATTATATAATATAATTACGTTTATTCAAATAATCGTTATAATAATAATAATAATAATAATAATCATAATAATAATAATAATCCATTGGATTTTAATATATTATCATATTTATTGTAATAATATTAGTAACAATTTGAATGAATGTTTCATTAAAAATTGATATACTTTTAATTGATGATCAATGATTGAAATGATCTTAGTTAGATAATATACCATTTTGATATTTTATAGTTTGATATTATGTTCTCGGCCATAGAAAGGGCCACTATCTATTTATAGAAGTTTGCATTTATTCAAAACACGATAAATGCATAGGAATTGGATCTACGGGTGTGGTACTGCAGAAACTTTTGAGTTCAGAGCCGGTTTATCGATAACACGTCGTAGTCGTCGTCGTGCTCCTTGGTGCAGGACATCGACGTTCGCGTGGGTTGTGATAACATTTTTTTTCCTTTCTTTTTCTTTTCTCTTCTTTTCTTTTATCTTTAAATAAATTTGCAAGTATTCGTATATAATTATTTATGGTGTAACTGAGAGAATTGGACTTTTTATTTCATATTTTCATTATTAAAGTATTCAAATATTCAACATACAATCTAATGTTAGTTACACTTCGTGACACGAACTATTTTTTTAAATAATTGTCAATTAAATTTTTGAAAACAAAAAAAAACATTTTTACATTAGTCAAAGATCGAGTTTTTAAATTAATATTATTATTATTACAGTTGTTTTATTTAATTAATAGTTGCATTTACATAGAAATACGTGATTCGAATAACTATATTAAAATTCTTATTATTTTTCTATTAATTTTCCTATATTTTATATTAACCCTAATATAAATTATTATTTATACTAATTTGTAATATATAATAAATATAAAAAATATAATATAATGTAAAATAATAATATAATATAATATAATAAATTATAATTTATAATGATAACCCTAAAAAATAAATTATTATTTATATTAGGGATAATCAAAAGTTCGTGCATATTTATTGTGTTATAAATTGTGTTATAAATTGCATAATATTTTTAATTGCATAATTGTTTTTGTAAAATTTATTTTTTGGTTCACCCCAATACATCTTATATAAAGTATATATATTTATTTAATATGATATAAAAATACTTATAATATATAATATATATAATACTTTTATATATAGTTTCGAAGCACATTAATAGTAATGAACTTATTAGTTTAAATTTAAACATGTAATTCGAGTAATCGATCTTCCCCACATAAAAATAAAATATATCGGTGCAACGATGTGTGTAAGAGAATTTAGTTGACTGGAAATGATTTCTTTGAGAGAAACACGCCAAACGTCTTGTTTATTCCAACCGAGGCACCACCACCATCACCACCACTACCACCACAAATGCGAATGGGGCCAAGGGGCCAAGGAGCCTTTCCGAGAATCGGCCACTAATGTAAGAATCGTTTTCGTTTGAACGAGTTCCTACGATCTCACCACTCAAATGATTTCTTTTTTATTTTTTATGTTTTTGTTACACAAATCATTTTATACAAAAAAACACACACACCCTGCCCCTCACCTGGAATTTGCAATAATCATCGATCGAACCTCGTTATCGAAATTCCTTCACGTGATTYTATCGTTTTTTTTTATTTCTTTTTTTTTTTTTTTGGTTAATCACCTATACCACTTCGTAGTTTCTTTTCCTATTTCGTTGTTATCCCATAAAAATCACATAAGTTCTCCTCGCACACCTTTCAACTCTTTTTTTGGGTGTTACCCAATTGGGTAATTGGGTGGTGTTGATATTACGAATGGCATAGTAATAACGAATTTTAAATGTCTATTGTGTGTTTTTTTTTCTTTTTTTAATCTCGCAATCCTACACATACGATGTACACTTTTATTCATCTTGATTGTCATTAAGATTCGTAATTTAAAAATAGAAATCTAGAGAGAGAGAGAGAGAGAGAGAGAGATATGTAGAGGTAATTTGGCATTCTCGTTTATACCGAAACTAATCATAAATCTTATGAATTATTATACTTTTCCACGAAAAACTAAAAGTACGTTGTATAAATTAATTTTAGAATAAAATTATTAAATGCACACATCGGGAATGAAAAGAAAAAACAATTATAATAACAAATACGTCAAAGAAAATAAAAAAAAATAAAATAAAAAGAATAAAACAGAATCTCAGTCATCGTCATTTCGATCATCATACAAGATATGCATAGTCCTTGAATTCGCGATGCACAATGTCATCAACATTGTAACTCGTTGCTAACGATGTGCTTATTAAATGCGGTTACATCGTACAGTTGACATTGGCGTATAAATCCAAGAGACATCATCTGCTTACCATATTTGTTAAAACGTTTGTTTCAATTTAACATTGTTAGAAAATAATTCGTTAAAAATATTCTAATCTTATCATTTGCCAATATATTATTATTATTATTATTATATATTTTTTTGGTATTAGTGGGTGCATCGATGCAGTTTCAAGAAAAGTAAGGTCATAGAAGGTTGACATTTGTTGTGCCATATAACTTTTTTCTTTATGTTTTTTTTCTATTGTTGCTTAAAAAAAAGTTATCACCCGCCTCCGTTCTAAGAATCACATTGTATAGAGTATTAAAATATATTTAAAAAAATTCATATGTAATACATACGTACAATATACGTCATTGGAACAATTTGAAATTGGAATTTCATCTAAAGTGATGATGATTCACAAAAAAAAGAAAAATTTTCAACGATAACCTTTTGCAACATATCGTACTTTCAAATGATCACAAAATGACGAAGTATATTTACTAAGTCTAGATTTTCTACTCTCTTTTTATTAACGGTACTTTATAAGACGATTAAAATGTTTTTAACGATCTACTGTGAACACGCACTCATGCACGTACTCTTGTTAACTACTCGTTAACTACTCGTAAATCTTCGTCAAAAGAAAAATACTTATGGTTAGAATAAAACCAAAATACTTTCGGTGCAACACCAAAAAAAATATTACGATTCCATAACGATCTTTAAAATTAGGGGGTATTTATCTATATTACATAATTTTTATTCTAATTTATTATCTTCATTTATACCATCTCTTAGTATTGGGTTGTTTAGAAAGTAATTTTGTTTTTGTCAACAAAATCTACGATGTTCTAGCATATTATAATACCAACATTACCATTTTTGCAATTATTATTTGCAATTTTTATTTAAGATTTTTTTTTCTTTTTTTAACCAATGTTTTTGTCATCAATAAGATCTAAGATGTTCTATCGTATTATTTTTTTAACTTTACGATTGATTTTCTGGCAACACACATCGTTTGTTAATTTTAAAATGACATATAATGACTCATATATGTGTATACATAACTAAAAATACTACCAATATTTTTCTTTTTACGAAAAAACTTAAAAGTTTAAACATTACCTTGAAAATTTGTAAACAACTAAAACGTAAATAAATTTCGCGATATCGATAATTTATGCACAGATCAAATAATATTTTATAACATCGATCATGCAATTTGTTATTTGTGTATTTCATAATAATTTTACTTCGTGAAATAATTTAATGAATTTATAAATAAATGTGATATAATAATAATAATAATAATAATAATAATAATAATTACATTTTGTGAAATAATTGAGATCATAAATAACGTGTGATATCTTTCTATTAAAATTAAAAAACAAAATTATGTAACGTTGGTTAGTTAATTGGTTTTTTCCTCAGTTGAAAGGTTTTATTTACAGGAAACGATTATCCAATAAGGAAATGTAAATAATAGCAACACGAAGAAGAATTGCATGGAATGCGAACGATCTTATAGTCATGTGATCATCAAGCTTATTGAATTTCGGTTGACGTTCGAGTGAACACGTGTACGATCATGAGAGACTACGTAACAGGAATTTTACATTGATAATTAACACCGTTACATTCGTTTAGTCTAATTTACTACTTTTTATATTGTAACTGACACAACTGATAATCGTCTCGATTGGTATTACATTCTTTAACGTAAATATATCTTTGATAAAATATTTCAATTGTTAATCATTCAAAAATTGAAATTCATTCATTAACAAGTATCGTAAAATTTATCTACGTTTTGCAATAATACAGTAAATGTAACTAATACCCTAATGGTTTGTTAGATATTTGTTTATTAGATACAATTTAATTATCTATCTTTTTATATCCCTTTAATAATTATAATTATTATACGAGTTTAAATGGGTTTGTTAAATAGTTTTAATTAGATAAATGTTTTTAAAATTTTTTTTCTATAAATAAATAAATAAATTTAATTATATATAATATAATATGTTAAAATTTAGTATTAAAATTTATAGATAATTATTTAATATATTTCCTAACTAATTAAATCAATATATAATATTACATTCATTTTAAATCTAATAATTATTTAAATATATCACGATTGTGTTATGAATCATATTAATATTTTTAATTATATTACTTCTTAAATGAAAATAGAATTAATTATACTACTTATATTAAATATTTACTAAACATTTAAACAATCAAAGTATAACCATATTTTTTTTTTATTGTTTCCTTTTTTTCTTTTAAAATGCACTAAAATTAGTAAAATAAACTTGAAATTGCGAATAATTTTTCATGCAAATTGTTATCGATATTGAAATTGTACTAAGATCAAGCAAGAAATAAAAGGCTTTTTTATTTTTATTTTTTTAATTTTTTTTGTTTATTTAATATATTTAATTATATATTTATTTAATAAATATAATTATTATACGATTCATTTAAGTTATTATTTTACACATGTAATTTGAACTTAATTTTCGAAATACGAGTTTGTATTTGGTTACCGACACAAACCGAATTTTACTCTTCTCTCAGTTTAAAACAAGGTATTCGCTCTTATATCGAATTTCTTCGATGCCCTAAGGGAAAAAACCTAGAAGATTCCAAGGTTAGTTTGTCGACCTCTGTCAAAACACGATTTCGGTTCCCCCTCCTAAATACGCAACAAACTCGGTCCGAAAAGAAATATTCTAAGTGAATAAATACTTCATTAAATGACTAGATGACATGGTATGATTTTTGTTCTTTTTTCATTTATGCTCATTCTCATTTGATAGGATAATAATAGTTAGATATATATTTTATCCTAACGTTGTGATGTAGATTCAAAGTAATTTTAACACGTTCTTTTCTTTTGCATATTAACAAATAGTTTTTGTTTAGAATTAAAAGATCAATCAAAAATTATTGAATATTAGTATTAAAATTTAAAGATAATTCTTAAGTGTATTAGTTTAATTTATTTTATATTTTTTCTTTCTCATAAAATAGAAAATTCACATTTCTCTTAGACCCCATATAATAACCCCATGATTTGTGTTTGGTATAATTAATATTTTTTTTTGAATTTAATAACATTATAATATTATGTCAAATAAAAAGAATTCTTGAAACCGGTAATTTGTAAATTGAGTATTACCTGTATAAACATATATATAAGGTCGGACACATGACATTACGTGGGTGACGAGGTTTGCTGACCAACCGACGTCCGGAATCTTATCTCATCTCCTTTTTATTTCTTTCTTCTCTCGCGCCGCCATTTTACCCTCCTCCACACACAACTGTTAGCCACCGATCTTAGCTTTTTGTTTGATCCGCGTAAATATAACACTCCCACTTAACACTAACTTCAAATTTTCTCTATTTTAAATAGTTGTGTTAAGTTGTGTTGTTCGTTGGATTATCGAATAAAAATGGTCGTAAAATTTGTTTAATCTTTAAAAATGCTACTTGTCATATATCATTATTATTATTATTATTATTATTTTTGTTTGTTCGTAAATAAAATATTAAATGTGTGCAATTTTTATAACAAAGTTTCGTGTAATATTTTTCGAATGCAATTTTATTCGAATTAATTCGAATATTTACAGTGATTAACATTTAATTATTATTCGTTTGTATATTGCAAAAAAAATATATAAAATATAGAATAATATTATTATTATTATTATTATAATTTTTGTTTGTTCGTTATATATATATTCAAAATAAAATATAAGTTTGTGCAATTTTTCTGATAAACTTTCGTGTAGTATTTTTCAAAAACAATTTAATTCGAATGTTTATGGTAATTAATATTGAATTATTATTCGTTCGTATATTGCGAAGAAAAAAAAACATAAAAAAAATCTAGGATTTGGTAAAGTCGTATAATAAAATTACTAAGAAGATGAGATACAAATCGGCGAATCTGAGTTCTATTCTTGGGTTCCTACGTAGTATTAGTAGTCGCACAAAGCTTCTCGTACCAAACTGCTTTTTGGCGTTACGCCTATTTTTGCTCTTGGTTTCGTCCTTCAACCAAACGTCCCATTTATCCCGCTCTTTTAAATTAAAGTTCACATTTATTCATTTCCGTTCCAGTATTCCAATCAAATAAACTTTCATTTTCTATTACTTTCATATTATATATTCATGTTCGTGGTGATTTGCATATTTGATATTTGTATGAATAAAAAAAAAAAATTAATGACAATAAAAAAAAATGCGGATAGTTCAGTGTTTAGACGAAGAGTATACTTTCATAATTGCGAAAACTTTATGAAGAACGTGTCCGTACATAGGTGAAACGTCCATAAAATCGTGAAGAGTGAGATTTGACCTTCCACCTATTCAAGAAAAAGGATCGTCGTTCTGGTGGTCATTGGATTACGTATGCCAACAAGAATGTTTGATACTTATCGTCGTCATGTTGAAATTGCCATATATGTGATACTTTTTTTTTCTATTTTATTATATTATTTTGTAACATTTATTTTAATGAAGTAAAAATTTGAACAAAAAGATTTATACTAGTAGTATATCAACAGATGTATAGACACCGGTTATATGCTTCGTTGAATTTAAATATAAAAAAACAAGTAAAAAAAAAAAAAAAATTAAAAGAAGACCATAACGCGTTAAATAACGACACATGCGGTATAATGGTATCTACTGTTTATGAGTACTTGCAGCAACTGCTAAGATGCACTTTTTTGGTTGTGAAGAGACTAATCATTATACAGTGTGCATTGACAAACCAAAGTCGACATACATTGAATAAAGATATTGAAATTTTAATTGAAATTATTAGAAAATATTTTCTAAGGGTATAATTAATATTAATTAATAATTGTAGTAATAATAGGGTGGGGGTAATATTAGTTAATATAGAAATTAAGTTGTATGGACAAATTTGCCAATCTTAAAATTATATGAATATAATAATTTAATTAAAATAAAATAAAAAATAATTTAAGAAATTATTATTAATTTGCATGAATAAAAAAGAAAAATAAATAAAATCAAATAAAAAATAATTTAGAAATTATTATTAATTTGCATTAATAAAGAAGAAACATAAATAAAATAAATATATATCAATAAAATAAAATAAAAAATAATTTAGGAATTATTATTAATTAGCATAATTAAAAAATAAAAAAAAATAAAATAAAAAACAATAAAAAGAAAAAATAATTAAAAGTAATTAATAACAGAGTTCTTTTTTTTCTACCGTGTTGTTTCGTGTTAGATAGAAGTCACTTAAATGTAAAACAATAAACAATTCTAAACAATTACGAATTTATAATAATAACCACTAATAAAAAATGATGTACCAATAATATGATCTTGTTGCAGATGATTAATTATAGATCCGTGAATCGTAGAAAATGTTCTCACCTCGCGAGAAAGGAACTAAAAATCCCAATTGGATATCGTTGAAAATGGCGCACAAAACACCGATGTGATTCGTCAATATTCGTTCGTTTTCGTTTAGTTTAATCTATTTTTTTTTCTTTTGTTTTTCGTTATTCCTCTTGATCGTTTGTAAAATAAATTAAAGATCGCGCGGGGATCGATGGACGGATCGATGGATCACGGATCAAGAAGAAGACGTTTTGCCGAGAGAGAGACACCACTAGTAGTGGCCGTTCGTCTAAAACTGGTTGGTTGTATCCACTTGAACCAACGTCGTTCGCGGGAGTTCGCCGATACACGGCCACGAATCTCACGCACGCACGCATGCGCGAACGCTAACGCAAAAGCGTGAGCGTGAGCGTGAGCGTATTTAACGAAACGCACTCGTTTTGTTTGTTGTCTTCTTCTTCTTCTTCTTCTTCTTCGTCTCAGGTGTTTCGTTCATAGCCATTTTTTGATTTCATCTTTCTCATTTGATCTTAGAAATTTAGTTGAAACTTTAGTTATTTTTTTCCCCCCCTTATTTTTGTCAGGTACCTTTGGAAGTGTTAGGGTGAATCTAAAAGGTTTGTGAGTTTAAAAATAGTTGTAGTGTAGAACAGTGTAGTTAAATTTATGATTTTTATGATATTTTTTTATTACAGGTGATTGATAATTATTACATTTTTTTTTTTTTTACTAATTTTTAGATTATTGTGTAAATATTTTATAGTGTAATATAAAAATTTTATGTTATACTATATTATATTATATTTTTTATTTTATATTTATATTATATTTTTTATATATAATAAATATTATAATAAAAATTTTACATTATTTTTTTATAGTATATAATTGTAGTATATATATATTATATATTACAATTAATTTATAGTATATAATATTATTATAGTACAGTATAATATTTTTTAAATATTATAATTGTTATATTTATTTATATTTAATTAAATATTATATTATTATAATATAGTATAATATTTTTTAAATATATAATATAATTTATAGTATAAACATTATTATAGTGTAGTATAATATTTTTATATTACATAGAATTTAATATAAATATTTCTAAAATTAATTAACAACAACGTAACCTTTCTGATATCAAAAAATGTCTCACACAATTCTCTCATTAACTAAATTAATATTTATATTTTCAATCCTTCAAAAATTTCCATAAACATTTAAAAAGTTTATTATGAGAACCTACGTTTAGTATAAAATTATTAGAAATTTAATACACAATTTAAATACATTCCACCACTTGGAAATGCAACTTTCAATTTACTTTGACGCGTGTTATAAAATGACTCGGTAGTCACGTAGGTAGATTTGTGATTTTTTTTCTTCTTCATCTTCTTCATCTTCTTCTTTTTTCTTTTCTTTTTTTTCTGATAAAAATATTCTGTCGCGTAAACGCAGGTGCGCTTAAAGAACCCGTCAGGAAAAGCGCGGGCACGCACTGCAGCTTGCCGTCTGGTCAGTGCATTCGCGGAAGTCGTACTTCTATGTGCAGGGACGCATCCGTTTGCAATTCGTCTTGCACATATAATTAAAATATACAGATACTGTGATACCAATGTGACACACATACACTTCTTCCTATTCCATTCCAATCAAGGACGTTTATTTAAAAACACTTCTTACAAATATTATCCAAATATTTTCTTATTTTTTCATATCACCGAAATTAAATTATAAAAACGTTTCTTTCTATACATTAGTGAGATTTTATTTTTATTTATTAAAAATATATCAGAAAGATTAATTTAAGTTGTAAATTACCCACACGTAATAAAATTTCGTAGAATATTCTCATCATCAATGAAAATCTTCTCGTACCGGGTCCGTACCTCTTTCATTTTTCTTTTCTGTCGCCCACGTTACCGCAGCAGTGACTGGTTGCAGCTACACCGCAAGAATCGTTGTTTATGGTAATAACTTATGTTAGTATGGCTGCATACATATCGATGACGACGACTACGTTCTATATGTTGCTTTTATGTGTATTAGAGAAATAGTTTAATCTTTGATCATTTCCGTTCAATCAATCTTTTACTTCAAAGACCACCCCCTCTCTTCCCTCTCTTCGTTTAATGTGTTCGATTAACCTACATATCGAGAAATAATGAAGTACTATAAGGAAAAAAAAGATCACATTCCATAGATTGAAAAAAAATAAATTATCATTTGTTTACGTATTCTTATGTCGTTGAAATTCCATTTTGTTTGGCTCTAAAGAAGAAAAAAAAAGAAAAAGGAAGAGAAAGAGAGAGAGAAAGAGAGAGAGAGAGAGAGAGAGAGAGAGAGAAAGCATGGTTACTCCTAATGCACGGTGCATACGAATAATCAACCGTTTGGACGATGACGTCACCGTAAATAAAACGGAAGAAGAAAAAAAGCCCCCAGTATCCTTACTTTTATCGCTGACATCATTTTGCTGATCGTTCGAGACGCCACTAGCCTCCATGTTTTTTTCTTTTTTCTTATTTTTAACTAACGACTATCTTCAATGTCACGAGATTCAAACTAAATGTAATTATTTTTGTTCATTATCTTTCCTCGTACGAGTTAGAAATATTAAAATTATAATGCAACGTAAATATTTCTATGTTTCATTTTAAATAAACAAATTCTTTTGATAATTATTTATAATTACTTAAATAAAAAATCATTCATATCGTTTGATTTCTTCTTTAGTCTCCATTGTACGAATTTAAATAATTTTTTTATAAACATCTTTTTCATGCTAATTTAATATTATCAAAATGGCGCCAATTTACCGCTTTTTAGACTTTTTAGTCAACAGCACATGGCTTTTGTTTTTACGAATTGGTCATCCATCCGTTTTACTAATTCCTGTTCACGTTACTTGAATTTTAATGATCTGAACATGGAACGTAGCTTGACAATAAAATCATTTCAAAAATAATTTACATGTTTTTTTTCTATTGTTATTCGAATATTTGAAATTGGTATAAAAAGATGGCGCCAAAAGTTCAGCCATGATTTTTTTTAAGCAAATGGTACGCGTTAATTGGTTAGAAAATGTTTTGGCAGAGGTCGTTGCCGATTGCAGACAATGGCGGTTTTCTTCTCTCCTTTGCCTTTTCAGAACAGATGTAGTCTGTGTACTAACTGTCGTTGTAACAGAAAATTTTTTTATCGACGATTCATACCATCGGAGAAAAATAGAAAACAAAGGTAGAAATTTAACACGTTGCCGCAAATGACGGCTATAGCCGTCCGATCTTCGTATTTCTAAGCACGATCGTCAAATTAAAAGTGTGCGGCAACGTGTTAAAAATATATATACGAGGTATTTTATCGTATTGCATTATTGAAATATTATGCCGAGTAATTCAAATGATTTTGTGTTATCTTTCGATTTTATAGGTTCATTGACACTGGGAGTTTTGAAATAGGAATTTTTTTTAATAATGCGAGTAGAATATTTATTGGTACGAATGTTGTATTATATTTGAAAAAATGATTATTAATTTATCCTTTTTTTATTATGAATTTAAAAGATGAATAGCAAAACTGTATAATTTTTTGTAAAACTAAAGTATATTACATTTATGCTTTTAACAACAGGTATAATAAATATAATTGTTTTCTACAATATAATTTGAAAATGAAATTGTATAACTAACGTCCTATTTAAAAGGTGAATAGCAAAACTGTATAATTTTTTGTAAAACTAAAGTAAGTTGCATTTATGCTTTTAACAACAGGTATAATAAATATAATTGTTTTTTACAATATATAATTTGAAAATGAAATTGTATAACTATCGCTCTATTTAAAAGATGAATAGCAAAACTGTATAATTTTTTTTAAAACTAAAGTAAATTACATTTATTTTTTTACCAACAGGTATAATAAATATTATTGCTTTTTTACAATATAATTTGAAAATGAAATTGCATAACTAACGTCCTTTTTTTTAAATCAAATTTGATGTTGAAATAATTATGCAGTTTTGTTGATTTTAGTAATGATAGTTTTTCGAACAATTTTTCTACAAACTTCGAGAAACTCTACACAAAGAGAAACAGAAAAATTAACATAAAACGCGTGACGTAATCTCATTTATATTTCACGTCGGCAATTTTCAAAGCACTATCCCGAGCAAACCTACCTATTGTCCAATATCTCGGACTTTCTTCGCACCGTTATTCGAAAGAACATGCGCAGGACGTTCGAAACAGGAACGTGTTGTTATAATCGAGTGCCCTGCATAAAAAAATATCTTTTTGTCGTATAAATTCGTGAACAGTTAAAATGATATCTTCAAAAAGTAAAATTCAAAAAAATGAATTAGTATAATATTAGTAGACAAACAATGTCATTAAAAGTAATAATTAACATTTTGTAGACTAAGGAAGTTGAAAACTCTAGCACGCGTGGTATTTTAATAGTTTTAATTATAAATAAATAATTAGGAAAAGATCGTATCATTAACAATGAATACATAGAGAATACTTTTGTATAAAGCAGATAATCAGCGTTGAACAGCACGAAAATAACATTGTAATGAATGATGCAGCAATACTTTATAAGTTAACGTCATTAGGGTATTCAATTTGGAATTAACGTACGGTGCTGATAATTATCGCCACGGGCGTCAAGTTTATAAATGCGATTCACGGCAAACGAGTTAGCAAAAGGGTGATCACCAGCATGGTGCGGATAATTTGAGTAACGAAGTAGGGTGACAAAATAGAAGAAGGGTGGTGAACTGATTATAAATCTTCAAATATACCTGTAGAATGTTTCTAATAAAATATAATTTATATCTGTTTACAAAAATCTGCTATCTGTAAAAAAAAAATAATAAATTAACAAAAAGAGTACAGTTATTTAAAATATATGTTTGATTTGTTTCAGAGAATGGGATTAAGAAAAAAACAAACAAAACCAAGCAGGAGAGAAAGTGAGATCTTGTTTGGAGAGCGTCGAAAGTGGTGCAGTGCGTTGTGTGTCTCTCCTCTCGTCCGACGAGAATTTATTTTTGATCGCTAGAAAGTGTCGTATCGTCCCAGGCTTATACGCTACTGGTAGAAACGCGCATGCGTTATGTACTTGCGCATTTGTGTGTACGCATTAAGAATACTCTCGCTTACGAGCCCACCAGTGGGCGGAAAGACAAGTAGTGGGGCAAAGAACGTGCCGGTGAAGACAAGCAAATAGGAGCGTACATCAGCGTACCTCAAATTTTAGGATTGGTTTATATATTTTACCAATTTCATTGTATCAATATAAGGACAAGGTTTTTTAAGGAATTTTTATTGGAAGTAATAATTATTTCATCACGAATTTATTTGGTTCTTTCATAATTTTTAAGTACAATTCTAAAATGGGTCATTTGTTGTTAGTTGGTTATTTTGATTTGTAAACGTTATTATTTATTAATTTATAGATTTTTTTTTAGAAATAATTTCGATCCTATTTTATTGTTCGACATTCAAATATCAAAAAATTTACAACATTAATTTATAATTCCTTTTGCATTTCATAGATGCCACTAAACAGCATTAATGGTATTATAAAATATTCTAAGAACATAAAAGGGTAATTATAATATATGAGATAAAAAAAAACTAATAATCATTTAGATGATTTTAAATTAAAAAAAAATCCCAAGTTGTGTGACAAATAGCGCCGAGAGTAAATATGAAATCTACGCCTATGAGGGCGCCGAGAGTAATAGTGGGGGAGAAGTAGAGAAAGAAAAGGTGGGGATAGTAATGGCGAGATCGGTAATGGTGGGGTAGTCAGAGGTGGTATCCGGCTGGGGTAAAGCCAGGTCTGTTAGAGTAGGATGAAGAGAGATGGGGAGACGGTGAAACAAGTGGAATGGAAAGGCAGCAGTCAGCGGGGTCGCCGAGTCGGAGAGACGAGTGAGTAGACAAGGGAGCGAACATCACATCGTGGCAAGCCTAAGCGGCAAAGCCAAAAGTGCTGCTCTTGTCCGGCGTTTTGCTCCGATCGAGAAGAGCACAACCACGCTAGTTTTTCGTCGTCGTCATTGTCATCGTCATCGTCATCGTCATCGTCATCGTCATCGTCAATCGTTAACGTGTCCTTGTATTTGTTCTCGTTCTCGTCACACGTGTGCTGTTAGCAAAAGTGTTGTTTTTCGTTTACTCTTGTAACCAAAAATTTACATCTACGAACTGGAAAGTGTCCTCCTTCAACTGATACATTCATCAAAGAGTATAAAAGGAAAGATCCCTTTTTTTATTCCTTTTCCCTTTTACAAATTTTTCTACCTCTTTTTAACGTTCTAGTAGTAGTTTACACGTTTAATCCTCTTTACCTGTTTTTTTTTTTTACTATCCATCCCTATTTCTTTGTCATCCTTATGTTCAGTTAAGGTAGTCTTCCTTTTGAATCACCTGCTCGCTCAATTCTTTACCACCAGCACCACCTACTACGTGAGCCGTGCCCTCTTTTAATATTGTAACAATTTTCTTAAAAAAAAAAAAAACACACACACACATTATTAAATAATGTTTCTTAACAATTTTATTTATATAAAAGTGATGATGTCTTTGTAAATAAATCCTAATTAAATAATCAAGAGGAATAAAGTTAATAATTATTATTTGGAGCATACAAAACAAAATGATCGTATTTAGTTTAAAGAAGAATAACAAAGTTCGTGATCGAAGAGTGTCGAAGGAAAGTGGGAGTGGTGATTTAAAGTGAAAGTCCATGAATTCGTAAAGTTATAAGAAAAGTTGAACGTGGACACTGAAATAAAAACGGTGAGAAATCCATCAGGATGTTCGAATTCCAGGTATCATGAGAATAAAGGCAGTTACCGCCAGAGACTGTCCGGTGGTCTTTTGACAGAAATAATCTCATTGTTAGAGAGAAAGAGAGAGAGAGAGAGAGTTAGAAAAAGAATTAAARGAAGAAGGACATAAGGAAAAAGTATTTGTGATTCGGTCGATAAAGCTGGTCGAGCCGGTCGGATCGAGTTCTAGGACGGATATGGCTACTGTTGTTTCTTCCACCGGTGCTGTTGCTGTTGTTGTTGCTGCTGCTGGTAGTGCTGTTGTTGTTCCTTGGCTTTTCTCTAACCATCATCATCGCAGTACACCACGTTTCCACCACCACTACTACCAGGTACTACTACGTCGTCATCATCATTATCATCAACCGTGTAGTAATAGTAGTAGTAGTAGTAATAGTAGCAGTAGTAGTAGTAGCAGCGAGTCAGGCGAACAGGTGCTGCTGCTGTTGCTGCTGCTGTTGCTGTTGCTCTTACCCTCCTCCACCTCTTCTTCCTCTTCCTCCTTCTCCTCCTGTTCAATTTCCTCCACCTCCTCTCCTACCTTCTGCTTCGTCGTTCAGGATAGGATTCGGCGAGACCTCTCGTGATAGCGGACACACAAGTCTCGAGCTACGGAAGAACGACTTCTCCGTTTGCTTGTTCTTCTTCTCTTCGTCAAACGTACTTGTCGATCGATTTGTCAGGCCACGCACATTCCACGCGCATTCCCGCTATTCTTAGTGGCGTAGGTGTACATTTCTCTCTTTCTCTTTCTTTCTCTCTTTCTCTTTCTATCCTTTCCTATCTTTTTCTTCTTGTAATCCTCTTGATCCTATTCATCGTTTTTCTCGTCTTCATCATCATCATCTTCATCATCATCATCATCATCTTATTCTTGATGTGTATATATGATACAGTGTAGTGCGTGTACAAGTGGCCCACGAGAAAGAGATTGAGGAGGGTGCTGAAGAAGAAGAAGGAAGGATAGGAAGGAATTAAAAGAGAAGAAGAAGAAGAAAACTAAATAAAAGAAAAATTATACAATAAAAACTTAAGATTAACATCAGTGAAGAAGAAGAAGGGTCCGTCGACGTCGATTGCGCGCGTCTGGCCTTCTCGCCAGAGGATGACGAGCACGCGAAGGGTCGACTGTCCGCGACCGATTACACGGATCTGTGGGACTCTACTTGTGTTACTGATATTACTTACCGAGGTAAGTTTTCTCACACCCCTTCTCCCATGCCTAATCAATGGCATTCGATTACAATTTTGTATTTTTAAAATGATGAAGAAACATTTTTAGGTTTGACAATAGTAAATCGGATTTGTTCTCTATTAAAATAACAACATTTTATTATTTTGTTTAGAAATAATAATTAATAACATTTAATACTACTCCTCCATGCCTAATCAATGGCATTCGATTACAATTTTGTATTTTTAAAATGAAAACGAGACAATTTTTAGGTTTGATAAAAGTACATCGAATTTGTTTTCTATTAAAATAACAACATTTTATTATTTTGTTTAGAAATAATAATTAATAATAATTAAAAGGAATATCTTATCGTTTATCGTAAGAAAATCTCGTCAAGGTGATATGAAGTGTCTACAGTTTCCTTTTAACCACGTTATATCACATTAATTTGATTCTCGATAAAGAAACCCGTGACGTGTTCATCGTTGTTTATTTTATTTTCATTTTTTTTCCTTTATTGAAAAATCTCCCTCACTTATACCATCTTGTTTTCTTCTTCTTCTTCTTCTTCTTCTTCTTTTGCTTTCGTGGTGTCACGTTCAAGGAAACGCTAATTGTTTCTTTATTATTTCCTCTTGACTATTGTTTTTGTTCTCTCTTTCGTATAAAAGTTTCCAGTAATTTGTACAGAGTTGAGTTTTGTTAATAATCGACAAATTAATTGTGATTCATATTAACAGAATCATTTTTGATTGGTTGTCATTATTATAACGATAGCAGTGAACACACACACATACACAGAGAGATAGAAAGAATGGTTCAACGATGTTTGATTATCTGGAAACACTTCGTAACAAACTCGTGTGTCCTTCTGTTACACGTTATGTGAGAAATAATACCTAGAATAATAAATGTACCTAGGATAATTAAAAAAACCTATCTTACGTTCACTTTAAATTTTTAATTTGAAGTTTAAATTTTTCATAATTCTTAGGAATCAAGAATTCATTTAAACTTTCATTCTATTGGGTTGTTCGGAAAGTAATTTCATTTTTCTTTTGTGAAAATGAAGACAATTTTTGCTTCGAGATTAAACCTAGGCCTTTCAAGTAGGCATAAAACAGTTAAATTTGATAAATTTAACCTCTCACCAATCTCACGTGTTGTTATTTGCCGGTTTGCATCAACTAATATCTTTATTGTGTCAGGAAAAAATGAAATTACTTTCCAAACAACCCAATATTACCTTTTAATGTTAAACAAAAACTTCAACAATTAAACATATGAACATTGACATAGTAAATGTACCTAGGATGATTAAAACAATCGTCTTACGTTCACTTGAAATTTTTTAATTTAAACTTAATTTGAAGTTAAAATTCTCAGGAATCAGGAATTTATTTCAACTTTCATTTTATTACTTTTTAATGTTAAACAAAACCAACTAAACACATGAACATTGACACCATAAGATAAATGAAAGTTCGAAGGGATGAATCAAATGCGGAAATACGAATTGAATTTTATTAAACGAATCATCATCATCATCATCATCATCATCATCGTAGAACAAGAAGTAGAACGTGGCTCATGAACATTTTTATAATAGAAACAACCATCGTGAATAGTCGTCATCGTAGTCGTTGTCGTTATAGTCGATGGCACGATTCGTGGTCAGCAGTCGGTGAAGGGGAACGCGACCGACATCCAGTCTTCTTTGCTCGGCCGATTCGTGTCTCCAGGTTGCGAAACCTCCTTGACTTTCTCAACGTTCGAGTGCAAATACGATGTTTTGAATACCTACTGACTTGTCTTGACTGACCCCGAATCCGATTGAATATTTTTCCTTACAAACTTTGTTGTATTGTTTTCTTGTTATTTTCTAGAATTGTATTTCTTTCATTTTTTTTTTTTTTTAAACAAAAAAAAATACAAAAATGTTTTATTGACCATTTGTGTGTTAGAACATACTAACCAAGCCATTCACTCACTCACTCACTTGTTCAGCTGCAAATACATAACCTATACCGGTTCTTTCTAGATTCTAAACTATCTCGAGAGAATATATATATATATATATATATGTGTTTGTATGTGTTTTTTTCTTCGGTTTTTTTAGTATATAAATTTTTCCATAAAAATGTTAAATGAAACTTTGTGAAAGTATTTAACAATATTGTTAGATTTCTGTATTTTTTTGTAGGTTGACTTAGTTGTTAGATTGTTTCGAAGAATATAAAACCGATTAATAGACTACCGGTTGTGTGGTTAAGTGTTAAAAGAAAAAAATTTCTTTATATAGTAAATCGAACTTGTTTTCTATTAAAATAACAACTTTTTTACTATTTAAAAAAATTTCTTTTAACACTTAACCAACCGATTCTGTTCGATTTTACTTTTCCCCCACCATTGTGAACTCTTATGGGGATTATTCTATTGCATATAAAAATAAATGATATTCGTGACGTGCAATAACAGAATAGACAATGTATTTGTAATATGTGTCTATTATTTTGCAACTTATGTAAAACTTGTCAAGACACCTAGAGTTCTAATGTACACGTTGACAATTTTTTTTGTTTTTTAATACTTTGCATATAATTATAGTTTAAATAATAAATACATATATATATCTATCTCTCTCATATTTCATGTTTAACATTTTTTTTTAATTACAAAAAAATATTGGAAGATTGTGTAATGCATACAGTTTTGAATTCATTATAATTATTTATAATTAACTATTCTTTTTATATTTTAAATACATACTTTCTAATATTTATTTGATATTAAAAGAAAAATAGAAAGAAAAAAAAACATAATTATTTGATAAACGTACGTATTTGAAGTGTGTCTCGTACGAATCAAACTATTTCGAAATGTATCGACCAAAGTACGAGGCGTGGATGGTCTTAAAAAGGATATAGGTGTGCCACCCAGCTCAGAGAAACTAACCTATGCCATAATAGTTTGTTACAACTATTGAAATCATTTGTAATTTGACCATTTTTCTAACGACGAAGGAAGAAAATGTGCAAATATCGTGTGTCACGGACAATGATTTAACAAAATGATCGTAATTTTCGACTTCTATTTCTTTTCTTTTTAATTAATTTAATAATACGAATTAGGGGCGTGTTATTATCGTGATCAGTGCGTGCATAAATGATTAATATTGTTAATTAAAATATTGATAACAAATCAGAACTATTGGATAGATTGATATGAACGAAAATAATCATAGGATTTGGAATTTATGAAATTTCTTTCTTTTTAATGAATTTATAATAAATATTAAAGTAATATATTTAATAAATATTAAATAATAAATATAATATATTTTTAATATTATTTTAATATTTAATTATTTAATATTTTTAATTTTATTTATTTAATTATTTTTAAATTTCAATTTCAAGTATTTAATATTTTTAATTTTTAATTTTAAATATTTAATATTATTTATAAATATTTGATATATTATATTTTTTAATTTTATTATAAAATATATTTTTAATATTAATTATTTTTAATATAAAAATATATTATTATTTATATTATTATATTTTTATATTATTATTATTATTATTATTATTATTATTATTATTATTATTATTATTATTATTATTATTATTTAATATGAAATATTATTATTTATTTTCCTATTAAATAATCTGTCTTTTTTTTTCTTTCTTTTTTTTCTGATGTTATATCATTTCTTCTTCTCACGTTACATCTCTTTCACTCTTTCGAAACGAAGGTCTTCGGTAATGTTTTACATCATCCATGTGCGAGAAGATTTCTTTGCATACAGCGATCATTTTATTTTGAAGGATAAGATATATCACGATTTCTAACAATCTACGTGATTGTTTTCTTACAGTATCAACATTAAAAATTTAATTTCTATTTATTTACGATAAAACAAAATATTTTTCTTTATTGATAACGAAAAAAAAAAAAATAGAACAGAAAAACTTTTTTAATCGTTTAGATAATAGAGAGGAAAATTGAAACTACCATAATCACTTTGCCAGTAGTAATTTCAGTGCGGCAAGAAGTTCATAAATCAAATACGAAGGGAACCACAACACTGTGTGTCTGTGTATATGTGTGTGGTAGTAATGGTAGTAGTTAACTATAGGAATTGCCATTTATTGACCAAAGGAAAGTTCGGCGAAAGTACATCGTTTTGTATCTCTCTGCGTCATATTCGGTTTCAATCGATATTATACGAATCTCACGTTTACGATTTACCATATTTAACCATCACCAACATCATCACCGCTCATTTAAATGATTTCGATGTATCGTTTGTAGTATACATTTACAATGATCTACTGTTACGTTTTATTGTCACTTTTAATATTCATGTTAATATATTTTAAATACACGTCAGTTTATATTGGATTCATTACAAATTTTCCAAAGTCAATGTGTGTTCATTTAAATAATAATAATAATAAATTCAAGTTGTTCAATTAAAATAATATTTATCTTTGAACAATTATGTAAATGCTGAGATATAAACAAATATCTATACAAATATATTAATATATATTAAATAATATTAAATAATATTATAATATATAATATAATTAATATATATTAAATAATATATATAGTAACATATTTCATAATAATATAATTGTTATTACGTAAAAATGTTCATTTGTAATTTAATTTTGTATTTTGGTATTTTCAATTTCCATGTTACGATAACAATGTAATTATATTTATAATACAATATGCATTACAAATTGTATTAACTAATACCATATTATTGCACATTATTATCATTATTATTAATATCATTATCATCATCATTAATATTATTATTATTGTATTGTTCTTTTTCATACGTGTATAATGAAATAATTTGTCAATCAAGAACTTCTTTTTATTTTTTTTAATTTTATTCATTCGATAGAAAGCGTTACATTGCCATAAGAGGAATTATTATAGTTATGTATACTTCGATAAGGAAATATGAACTGAACGAACGAATGAACGAA